GAAGCGCAAATGTCATGCAGAGTATGCAACATGCATACACCATCCCAAGACCACAGGTGTTTCAAGTTGAAAAAGTACTTAAACTTAATTACAAAATTTTAAATATGAAATCGATGCATTTTATTATTCGTGTAATCTTCATTCGAATAAAACATTGTGTTCGATACGAGGCCGAAAATTTATTTTTCGAACTTCTGACGGATTGACACCTTCGACTTCGTCTCGGGTGTCAAACGCCGTCGTCGTTCGAAAAACGACATTTTTCGCCCTTGTATCGAATACTACTATTATTTTAGATAAGTTCTATATTGTTGAGGCGGATTCATTTTTTACAAACTTCTTTTTGGGTATTTCGCCTCAAAGTCACATAACTGACAATTTGCACAGGCGAATTCTCAGAGAGAATTTTCATATACTGTATTATCCTACTATTGTTACACAATTTATTAACATACTCTTTTTAGGTTCATTTAGGTTCTTCTTATTGCGAAATAGGAGCACTATTTATCAATCTGTAATAAAAGACGTGAGAAAATTCTATCTTTTTTATAGACAAAAATTTTTGAGGCGAAATACCCAAAAAGAAGTTTGTAAAAAGTACTATTATTTTACTACTGCTGTGACACTAAATAATCGACTAAATTGCCACATTTTTCGGTCAACTGACTGCAAAAAGAGGCTTTTTCTGCAGCTGGAAATGGCCCGCTTTGCCGCGCTATCGTTTGTTTCGGCGCTATCAAAGAGTTCGCAGAAAATGTTTCCATCTAGTATCAACCTCAAATGACCGCTGTTTTCATTTCAGGATCTAACATCGATGTTTTATCGATGTCCCAAATTTCCAACATCGTTGGTAAAAATATCGAACATCGATGTTTGTCTCCCATCCCTAGTATCGCGAGTTTTCCTTACGTTTTTCTAAATTACATGCCCGTTTAACGAGGGCCATTAACATTGGCAGAAAAGGAAAGCAGTCGCGTGTTTTCAGCTCAACCGTAACAAATGCTCGAACTTTTTCTCTAATCCGCTGAAGACCGATTTCCTAGCCAGATCCAAATCAATCCAATTCACATAAAATGCAGTTGGAGAATAATTTTAACACTTAACAATCTGGGGCTTCGACAGCCAAACAGTCCGGAAATTGTTGCGTAAATTGACCATCGAAGTCGCTTTCTACCAGCAACTTCCTTGTAAGAACAGAAGGTTAAATTAACCAATCTTCTCTGAAGAAACTCCCGGAAATGTCCGCAAAAGGTCAACAGCGAAAATTGCATTCGGATTACTTTGCCTATGCAGTGATTGATCGTTTTCTTGTTTGATTATTCGTGGTTGGATGGTTTGAAGAACTGGAATTGGATTCTGATGGAGATTTTGATCGTTTCAGAGGGATGCGTCGAAGTATCCAGAGAGGACAAGTTTCTCAGCACGTTGACGCCAGGGAAGGTGCTAGGAGAACTGGCCATCCTGTACAACTGCCAGCGCACAGCTACCATCAAAGCAGCTACCGACTGCAAACTATGGGCAATAGAGCGACAATGTTTCCAGACGATAATGATGCGAACTGGGCTTATCCGACAAGCCGAATACACCGATTTCCTAAAGAGGTAAAGAGAAATGTTGTATGCAATCAGTAAAAACTTTTCTGCAAGTTTCGTAAAATGTGAATTTTTCTATCGACTGTTAAAGTCCTGCTTCAAGAAAGTGTTGAGTTGTTGCCGCTTGAGTTAACGAGTTATACGCTCATCGGTTCATGAGTTATAAGTGATTTATTGAAGCTTTACCAGACCCGAGACTGGAAGTTTCGCATCTAAAAAAGGGTTATTAACATTTTTTCTGAGTGGCGTTTTACCCCTTTGTTCAAACAACTAAAAAAGTCATCTAGATTTTCCCTGCAACAGACCTGAGTCCAAACAAAATCAGCCAAAAAAAAATTTGCATCTAAAATCGATTTTGTTGCATAAACTGAATCTAGTTTGTCAGTATTTTACAGTAAAACTTTAGGAAAAACGCGATTTTCTGTTTAGAGACAGAGTTGTTCAGAAATCCTGACCTAAAAGTGAAGAAACTCCAGCTTCCAAGGGTTTTCCAATTAAATGATTATGAATCTTCGCTTTTTCAGTTTGGGGAAATATTTTTGGAAAAAGGCCTAGAAATAATTATTAGGGTTTTGTCCATGATTCGAAGCTGCAAAAAGTTTTCCAAACATTTTGCAAAGCGGTTACGGAGACGAGTGTTCCCATAAAATGTATCTTATAATTTTTCACAGGAAATACCTGAAGATTGCTAGTATTTTAAGTAAAAGTAAAAAATAATGCGACTTTTGCGTAGAAAGAATTGCTTAATCGAAACTTTGTTAAAACTGGAATGAGCTGAAAATTTGAAGAAACTTTAGAAATCCTCAGAGCGATGAGGGCGGGGAATTTTCCCAATAATTTTTTGTAAACTTTTGCTCTGGTCGTTTTTTTAAAAAAGTCTTAATTACTTTCGGTAAAAAACTGAATGAAATTATTTGGTTTTGGTGCCAAATTCGAAGGTAAAATGGGTGTTCTAAAGTTCCCTGCAAACCGATGAAGGAGGCGACTTTTCTAGAAAAAATGATTTTGTCATTTTTGGCTGAAAAGTCGACGTTTTTCTCAGAAAAGAAGAAAATCATCAGAAAACAATGGTTTTTTGCATTTTCGATTAAAAACGTTTAGTTTTGTGATCGGTTTTGGAGAAAACCCTAATGATTTTCGGGGGAGAACGGGAGGAACTTATTTTCGTTTTTGTCCCAAATTTGACGCTGAAAAAAGTTTTTGTAAAATATTTGCAAACCTGTTAATTTATCTGGTAATTTTTCGCGTAAAAGACCTCCAGATCGTCAGTATTTTTAAGCGAAACTCTACAAAGTAAAGCGTTTTTCAGTAGAAACTAAACCAAAAAAAAATAAGGCAAAACTATAAAAGCACATTTTTTAACACTACAGTCTTCAGAGGTATGGAGGTGCCGAGATTTCCAAATAATTTGTTAAAAACTTTCGCTTATTCTGCTCGTTTTTTAATAGAAAATGATTTGATTTTTGTTCCAAATTCGAAGCTGGAAGGCGGTTTCCAACCTTTTTACAAAGCGGCGAAGCACTCGACATTTATTTCATAATTTTTGGCGAAAAATACCTAAGATTGTCAGCATTTTTAAGTGAAACTTCCGAAAATTGAGCGTTTAGAAGAAAGAGTAACTCGGCTAAACCTGGAAAATTCTGAAAAAATACCATTAATAAATGGCCTTTAAAATAAATCTGAAAACCAGTAAGAAAAAGTCATCAACAATTTCCCAGCAACAGAACTGAGTTAAGCTCCGGTGCGTTGGGTTGGCGCATCAACCCATTTGCGCAGCACTGCGCCAACTCCTAAAAATTCACTGAGTTGCTCAGGCCTTAACAGATTGGTTCCGAACATTAAACTAACACCGACAAAAGAAGCAAATTCAAAAGTCCGTCCCTTTCACAAGGTACATATTGGTCGTTTAGGGCTTCAATTCTTACCTGTAATGGTCATTACATGCATCCGCCTCTTTAATTGATATCGCAGTGGGTTTGGGTCCGAAGCTCGATAACACGAAGCTCATCAGCACCAGCTTGGCTTACAAGTCAGTAAGTGTTCAGTGTGTATTTGGCAGTGTTTTCGGACAGATGGGTTCGATGATGCGCGGCTCCGTCGGCTCTTTCCATTTGCTCACCAAGATTCGGCGATTGTGCGGCAAAAAGAGACGGCATTTGACGTTGAAAAAACTGCGGTAATTGATTAATGTGATGACTAGAGTTTAGGGTCAACTTGATAAGGCTGCCCCGGATCATTTTTCTGACTTGCTCACACCAAACATTACAATAATCATCAAACAAAAGGATAATTTTCACTTTTTTTGTTTTGTTATTATTCCAGTCCAGTAGAGCATGTTTTAGTGTTATTGGTCTGTTTCAGTGTTCCTATTTTCAAAGACCTGCCCGAAGAAACGCTAATCAAAATTTCGGATGTGCTGGAAGAATGCTACTATGCCAATGGAGACTACATCATCAGGCAGGGAAATCGGGGCGACACCTTCTTCATCATCAGCAAAGGGAAGGTGAACGTCACCATGAAGAAGAAGGACTCTGCCGAGGAGAAATACATCCGAACTTTGAACAAGGGGGACTTTTTTGGAGAGAAGGCATTGCACGGGTAGGTCCACCTAAACACCACCTACCTCTTCCTATAAGTAATTCACGCAGTTTTAACGATAATCCGAAATTAATGGGCCTAAATTCTTGTCGAACTTCTGCACAAAGGATGCGTAAGTGATTGGAATAATATGAGTAAAAGTTATCGGAAATCGTTGAACCGGACTATTTAAACTAGATAACCTCGTGACCGTGAGAAAGTCGAATTAACATGAAAATTGATTGAAATCTACGATTTTAGTGCAGAACATCTGTCTAGGAAACTCGCCTCAAGATGTTTTTAATGAACCAACAAAATACGTTTATTCATATATGCGGAGCCTAATTATTTTATTTTCGTCTCCAGTTGCCAGAGTAAATTACTGTTGTGAATTGTTATCCCGCTTTAACCATCTTGGCACATATCAAAAGAGTTAGACTTTCGAGGCCATTCCTTGAAACTAATGGGGGTTTTAGGCCGTCGTTCGGTAGAATTTCTTCCTGACGTTTCGCAAGCACGAGTGGCTTGCATCTTCAGAAGTGGTTTGCTTGAACGCTTACACTGT